CGGGCTCCCGACGGCCGGTTGTGAGGTGGCCCCGGGCCCGGCCGCCCTCCGGCACCCTGGAGCCAGCCTTCCGCACGTGTGCTTTGGGCTTTACGGGCTTAATTTCGGTGTGCCGAGGAAAATCACGGAATCCCAGACGGGCAGGGGTTGGCAGGGACTTCTGGAGATCATCTCCTCCACCCCCCGCCACAGCAGGGTCACCCGAGCAGGTCGCGCAGGACGGTGTCCAGGCGGGTTTGGAATACCTCCAGAGAAGGAGACTCTACAACCTCTCTGGGCAGCCTGTGCCGGTGCTCTGGCATCCTCAAAGAAGTTTTTCTTCATGTTCAGATGGAATTTCCCACGTTCCAGTTTGTGCCCGTTGGCCCTCGTCTTGTTGCACCACGGAAGAGAGTCGGGCCCCATCCTCTTGCCACCCACCCTTTAGACATGGATCAGCATTGCTGAGATCCCCTCTCAGCCTTCTCCTCCCCAGGCTGAACAGCCCCAGGTCTCCCCGCCTTTCCTCATCAGAGAGAAGCAGATGAAAAGCAGTGACTCTCCTTTTTTATCTTTAGAGGCAGATTTAAGGCCTTGTCCCTGCATCTCAGAGCCGCCTGGAAAGCAATCTGTAAATTATCCCTGTGCTCCAGACACTGATGTCCGGGCAAGAAACCTACTGCGGGCTTGAAGTGACTCCATGGTGTAGTAAACACTGTTAATCAGCCTTTTTCTCTTCTTCCGAGGAAACAATGGGGTGACACAAACTTTACAGTCAAGTTGAGGAAGCAGCACGTGAAGCAGATGAACTCTGCTGTGCCTCAGCTCACCTGGGAGCACTGGCGAGGTCCAGGGTAGAGCCCGGTGAAAGATGAGAAACCACACAGCAGCATCCCTCTCTCCTGGTCCCTCTGGGAATCCCTCGGGTTACCCACAAGAGGGAGAAACTTGCAGCTCTCACAGGAAACAAAAAGTTTTGCTGCAACTTCTGAGCAAAGAAATTAAAAATTTGCATAATGTTGCTGGAGTGGCCGGGATCTTCCAGCCTTACAAAGCCAAATGCAGATTTATTATGAGGGTTTATCAGCAATATTGATATGCACACAAAAATGCATCTATGTTTATGTATGGGTAATGTCTTTATATTAATACAGTAAAGGTAGAAGGGTTCTGGACTTTTGGTTTTCCTTGAAGAAAAGATCCAAATTAAGGTTAAGAATTGCCGGCTGACAATATGTTTTTTAAATTGACCTTGTCAGCTGCGGCTCGTGACTTTCCAGCAGAGGGAAACGCAGCACAAGCGATGAGGGGTTGTGGCAATGGCAGGCAGCCCTGGCAAACGCAAACTATCTCTGTTCTCTTTTAACTTCACTTTCTTCCGCTGCCAAACTCTGATGCATGCTGAGTGATTAAAAATATCAAATACAGTGTTACCCAGCAATGAGTCAAGTCAGAGGAAAAAAAAGAAACCCAACCTAGTGAAGCCAGCGCTGTAAAACTGAGCAGACTGGGGCAAAGAATGGGCGGCAGAAGGCTTTTAAATAGCCCTGTTGACAGTATCTGAAGAAAAAGGAGAGGATTGTCCCGACGTGGTTTGGTTTTCGGGTATCCCCCCCCTCACCTGCCTTGTCCATATCCCTGCAGCTTGGCTGGGAGTTATCAGATTTCCATGCACATGGAACGAGCTGCCACCACACTGGGGACAGGGACCACTGGTGTGGGAAGAGGGGGGATTTCTGAAAGAAGCAGCCAGTGCGGTGGTTGGTGGTGTTGTGCAGTAAATTGGGCAGTGCGCTGTCAAAATCTGAGTTACATCCTGGGGCCACGGCTTTACTGATATCTCTCTGCTCCATCTGGAGTTCCTGTCCTCTCTGCCCTGAGGTTGTCCCTCCGGTCCTGTCCTCGCCGGCTCTGAGCCCTGTCCCCACCGCCTGCGTAGGTGGCCCCATGGAAACGGTTTTTAGCGAAGGTGATCGGTGCATGACTGATTGCCTGCAGCAGCAACGCCGGCCATGTCCCGGCAAAGCTTGGTGCTTGTAAAGAAGAGTAGCAGGATCTGGCCCTGCTCACGTGCCCTAAGATGGTGCTGTGCTTTGTGGTCTGCTCCGTGTCCCTCACGTGTGGGACCCGATTGCTACACTTAGGATCAGAGAAGTTTTGGGAGCAGGGAGGGATGCTGGCCTGGCTCTTGGATGCATGAAACACCGCATCAGCTGCGTCCCACCGCAGCTCCCGCCTGCAGTCCCTGGACCGGCCTTTTATCTTCTGGAGCATCCCGACAGTCTCCTGTGACACCTGAGCGCTGGGTCGCTCCGCGTCTCCTCCCAGCACGGTTAGGAGTGAGGAGAGGGGCGAGGGGCAGAGGAGGAGCGAGGGCTCTGCGCAGAGGCTGCCCCAAATATCTGCTCTGCTCTGTGACATGGAGGTGGCCACAGCTCAGCTGCAGAATGAGGCCATCAGCCACTTGCGTACTCACTACCCTTTTATTTAATCACGGGAAGCCGGATGGTTTTTATGGGTTTGTGCAGTGCCTTGGCCCAGCCAAGCCCGGAGCTCGGTGGAGCCTCTTTTCCCTTCCCGCTGCCGTAATGCAGTTAGGAAATAAACCCAAGAGGTTTCCCTGGCTTCTGTGGATTTGTCTCTGGGTCCCATGCCAGCTCAGGCAGCCCGGTTCCTGGTGCAGGTGCTGAGTGCCTCCCTGGCTCGGCGGTGCTGCTGCGAATCCCAACCTGGCCTGAAAAAGCAAGGAATTCACCCAAACCCGCCTCGTGCCAAGGAGCAGGGGCTGGTCCTGCGCGGGCTGACAGTGAGTACATGCAGATCTGCTCTTGCTGTCACTTACAGTTAATTTATTTTTAGATTAAAAAATGTTTTTATTTCTCATGCACACAGAATTGGCACTGCTTTTTTGGGTCGTAGCTGACTCCATTGTCTTCTCCAGTTATGCCTCCCCTGCAGTGCCGAAATGAAAAATTCCAGTTACATATTGTACAGGGGACGGGAGCTCGGAGGAACTGACTCATCTCGGTTATATTTGTCCTTTTCAAAGGGGAAGATCCCGGTCGAGGGGTGGTGGGGGAACAGCATCGGTTATCTCCCATCCACCACAGCAAACGTGATGCTTTTATCAGGGGTCTGTCGGGCGCACAGCCGAGTCTCCCCGCAGAGGCACCCGGGTGTCCTCGCAGTGCGAAGCTCCTCGGGCGGCTCAGACAGTCGGGGCAATGGGGAAGGGAGGGGTTTGTGTTGTTTCTCAAAAAAATAATCGTGGCTCCAGCGTGACAGAGGCCACAGCGCGCTCCCCAGGGCGTGAGCCAAGCCCCTGCCGCGACACCAAAGCATGGGAGTGCAATGCCGCGGTTTGGATGTGCAGTGCCATGGCTTGGGTGTGCAATGCCATGGCTTGGGTGTGCAATGCTGCAGTTTGGGTGTGCAATGCCACAGTTTGGACAAGCACTGCCATGGTTTGGGTGTGTAGTGTCACGGTTTAGGTGTGCAGTTGTGGTTTGGGTGTGCAGTGTCCTGGTTTGGGTGTGCAATGCCACAGTTTGGACAAGCACTGCCATGGTTTGGGTGTGTAGTGTCGCGGTTTGGGTGTGCGGTTGTGGTTTGGGTGTGCAGTGTCGTGGTTTGGGTGTGCAATGTCATGGTTTAGGTGTGCAATGCCATGATTTGGACATGCTGTGCCATGGCTTGGGTGTGCAATGCCATGGTTGGGGTGTGCAATGCCACGGTTTGGGTGTGCAGTGTCATGGTTTGGGTGTGCAATGCCATGATTTGGACGTGCTATGCCAGGGCTTGGGTGTGCAACACCATGGTTGGGGTGTGCAATGCCACAGTTTGTGCAGTAGCACGGCTTGGGTGTGCAATGCTGCAGTTGGGGTGTGCGGTGTCGTGGTTTGGGTGTGTAGTGTCGCGGTTTGGGTGTGCAATGTCATGATTTGGACATGCACTGCCATGGTTTGAGTGTGTAGTGTCGCGGTTTGGGTGTGCAGTGCTGGGGTTTGGGTGTGCAGTGTCGTGGTTTGGGTGTGCAATGCCATGATTTGGACGTGCAGTGCCATGGCTTGGGTGTGCAACGCCATGGTTGGGGTGTGCAATGCCACGGTTTGGGTGTGCAGTGTCATGGTTTGGGTGTGCAATGCCATGATTTGGACGTGCTATGCCAGGGCTTGGGTGTGCAACACCATGGTTGGGGTGTGCAATGCCACAGTTTGTGCAGTAGCACGGCTTGGGTGTGCAATGCTGCAGTTGGGGTGTGCGGTGTCGTGGTTTGGGTGTGTAGTGTCGCGGTTTGGGTGTGCAATGTCATGATTTGGACATGCACTGCCATGGTTTGAGTGTGTAGTGTCGCGGTTTGGGTGTGCAGTGCTGGGGTTTGGGTGTGCAGTGTCGTGGTTTGGGTGTGCAATGCCATGATTTGGACGTGCTATGCCAGGGCTTGGGTGTGCAACACCATGGTTGGGGTGTGCAATGCCACAGTTTGTGCAGTAGCATGGCTTGGGTGTGCAATGCTGCATTTGGGGTGTGCGGTGTCGTGGTTGGGGTGTGCAGTGCCACAGTTTGGACATGCGCTGCCATGGTTTGGGTGTGTAGAGTCACGGTTTGGGTGTGCAATGCCACAGTTTGGATGTGCAGTGCCATGGCTTGGG